CGTTTTCACGTAACAAATATCTGAAAATTTCTGATAAATCGCAGTTCGTTTTGTCTGAAAATTCCTGATAGTAGCATTTCGTTTCTCTGATATTTCGCATACATAGCTGAAAATTTCTGCTGTTAGTATTTCGTTCTCTAGGCATCTTGGGATAACGATAGAAGTGGTCATATTCTCGGAAACTGGAATTATTCTTTTCTGAAAATCGAATTTCCATTCTATCTCGCAAATTTTTTTTGAAAACCGAAATCTTGCGAAGCCTACCATCATTTCGATAGGCATATTCGGAGGTTGCCATATTCTCAGAAATGGGATTTAGTTTTTTTTTTTTAAATCGCATCTCTATTCTATCTCGCAAATTTTTTTTTTCAAGATCGCATTTTGTGAAAGCCGAAACTTTGCGGAACCTAGCCTAGAGCTCGTTCATAGTCTCTTCTGACATGTCTCACTCATAATAGATCGACAGATATACARAAAAAAAAAAAAAAAAAAGGGAAGTAGTCCTCTTTTATTTATTTTATTTATTTTTCATCTGTTGATTAGGGCCAGGAGGAAAGTATTGTTGGGTTGGTTCCCTACCTGGGTTTTCCCCTCCCTACCCACCCTTTGCATGCATTTCCGGGTTGGTACTGTGCCACGTCAGCAATGCCACGTCAGCAGTGCCACGTCAACAACAGTGCCACGTTAGCAACAGTGCCACGTTAGCAACAGTGCCACGTCAGCAGCAGTGCCACGTCAGCAGCAGTGCCACATCAGCAGTGCCATGTCAGCAACAGTGCCACGCTCAGTGCCATGTCAGCAGTGCCACGTCAGCAGTGCCACCATGATGGGTGCAGCTCTGGGCATGCCAGGCCAACTGGCCAACGAGTCTATTGCCGACTACAAACAGCTGTTCCAGACTCAGCTCGCAATGATCGAGGCTGAGAAACAGCGCCAGCTGGCAGCCGAGGCTGCCCGCCTACAGGCTGAGGCAGCGGCAACAGCTGAGAAGCAGTGGCTACAGGCGGAAGCAGACGCAGATACCCAGGCACGCCGCAAGGAGGCCCAGGATCTGCTGCAGCGGCATGAAGCCACCAGCATCGAAATACTCAAGTTCTGGCACTTTCAACCGTCCAACGGCGACGACGCGACACCGGAGGAGCAGCACAAGGAGTTCATGGCCAAACTC